CCCCGGGGATGCAGGGCCACACGGTCCAGGGCCCAGTGGTAGGTACACCTGTCCCTGCCCCCCCCCCGTCCCTCCTTGCTGCTGAGCCCCTCTCCCTCTCCAGGGCCCATCGGGCATCAAAGGAGAGAAGGGAGACCGTGGGCCCCCAGGCTTGCAGGTAGCTGGCAGGGCAGGGCTGGCCAGGGCCGGGCCGGGCCTCCCCCCTCGGGCGTGGCCTGGCCCTGTCTCAATAACCACCTCTGCTCTCTCCTCCAGGGCCACCCCGGCCACCTGGGAGAGTGGGCCTCCAGGGACCGAAGGTGCTTCCTGGGGCTGGCAGGGTGGGGCGGCTCAGCCCCTTCTGCCCTCAGTGAGGTGGGGCCAGTCAGCACGGGAGGGGTGCATGTGGCAGGACCCCCCAGTCAGCCCATCCTTTGCCTGTCAGGGAACGAGAGGACTGGAGGGCACTGCTGGCCTGCCCGGACCCCCTGGCCCCAGGGTAGGTGCCACTGCCTCCCCGAGCCCTCTCACCCCCACAGCTGTGACCTAGGTCGCCTGGTGTTGGCCTCAGCTGGGCAGACCAAGTGTCCCCTCCCACAAGGGCCACCCTGGGAGGGCCTCGCTTATGACACGGAACAACAGAACACAGCAAGGGGTCATTGTGGTGTGGAGTACAGGGGCGCGGGTCTGCCCAGGCACTGTTGAGGGCAGGGTCTGACCTGGTGGGGGCAGGGAAAGTCCTGCTGAGTAGCCCCTGGGGGAGGCTGGGGACAAGCTAAGGGGCCTTTGCCGCCATGGGCCCACAGGGCTCGAGGGGACCTGACTTCTGCATCTCTGCAGGGGTTCCAGGGCGTGGCAGGGGCCAGGGGAGCCAGTGGGGAGCGAGGACCTTCAGGCATGGTGGGGCCGACGGTAAGTCCTTCCCCACCTTCCACAGGTCAGGGGAGGGTCTGACTGCCCCACAGGGTGGACCTGCAGCAGGGGGAGGCCGGGGCTGCAGGCTCCACAGGCCATGGGACCAGGGACAGGCCTGAGAAGGGGCAGCTCCCGGGGACCCAACCCTGAGAGACGGCCCGAGCCTACGAGCCAGGCAGGGGTGTCCATGGCCCTGTGGTCTTCGGGCTCCAGGTTTCTGGGGGGCTGGGGCGATGGAGGAAGACGGGGTGAGCATGAGCTGGCTCCGGGGTGCAAGCAAGGCCTGTGGACGGGACCCCGGGCTGCCTCGGTCAGGGGAGGCCCCAGGCCCGTGCTGTCTCCCCACCGACCCGCCTTTCTCCTCCGCGTCAGGGACTGCCAGGGCCTAAAGGAGAACGAGGAGAGAAGGTACGTGCCGCCTGGTCGGGGGCTCGGGCTCAGCTCTGGCGATCACAGAGGTCCCGGATGGCCCCGGCCGCTCTGGCCCCAGAGCCACGCCCGACTCCCTTCCAGGGCGAGCCGCAGTCCCTAGCCGCCATCTGCCACCTCGTGAGCCGGGCCTGCGAGTCGGCCCTCGGTGAGCACCCACCCCACAGCCCGCGTGTGCGCAGCCTCTGGTGCCACCGCTGCCAACGCCCTTCTGTCCTCAGCTCACGTGTTGAAGTTCGACTCCTTCCTCTGCGAGAACACCAGGCCCCCGCTGCCCATCTCAGAGAAGGTGGAGCCAGGCAGGCCCCTGGGGTCCCCCGGCAGGCACAGGGAGGCCCTCGTCCCTGGAGAGCGGAGACGCAGCGGCCGGCGCCCTGAGCACACAGGTGCGGCTCCGGACGGGCCTTGCTCTGCGCGTCCCTGACAGGAGCGCCCACCCTGCTGGCACGGGGTGGGGTCTTCCTGAGCCAGTGAAGCCAAAGTGGGCAGGGCAGGGGGATGGGACACTGCCTGTCGTCCTGGGGCAGGGCAGCCCCAAGGCAGCTCTGCGCCCGCCCGGGCTTTGTCAGCAGGCGGCTGAACCCCGCCCTGTTCCCCACGAATGCCAGCCCTGGGGAGCCGGGGGCCCAGAGCCTCTGCTCATGCCATGGGCACCCCCACATGGAGTTGGGCCAGTGGCAGCCCAGCAGAGGGGGGTCATCACAGACACCCTGCGGTGCCCGGGGCGTGGACAGGAAGACGGTGCTCTCAGGACACCCCCCAGCCAGCACTCCCTGCAACCGCACGTGGGCTGGCCTGTTGACCGTGGCCTGGGGTTTCCATGCCCGCCCCCATGCCTTCTTCCCACCAGGTGAGCGTGGACCTCAGGGGAGCCAGTTTAGGACCCACAGAGGGAGCCAGTGAGTCTCTGCACCTGCCCCTGCACAGAGGGGGGCAGCCATGGGGGCACACAGAGGTGACTGCCCCTGTCTGCAGTGAGTCCCGGCACCACGAGGGGGCAGAGGGTCGTGCTGTCCAGGGCCGGGGGCTGACCGCAGGGGGTCACTGCACCAAGCCCCGTGCTGGCCGGGAGGCCTGACGGACCAGATGCCGAGGCTGGAACTCAGACACCTGGCCCAGGGGAGCCGGGGCCTGTGGTATGGCCCTGGGACTCCAGGAGGTGGGCCCCAGGTGCTTTGGTGAGGGCAGGACTCTGGTGCCCTCTGACCTCTGCCCTCCCTCAGATGCACAGGCAGGGCCCCTGTGCACCCACCTGAGGGGCTTGTTTGGGAGCACATAGGGGACGAGGGTCTGGGCGCTGGGTCCCATGGAGCGTGAGCCTGGAGCGTGGGCCTGGAGTGTGGGCCTGGAGTGGTGCTGGCACCTGCGCTGAGCCGACAGGCAGGAGTGGAGCGCGGCGGGCAACGCGGGACAGCTAAGAGCACAGACGGGCAGGGGCAAGCCGCTGGGGCTGGGAGGGAAGCTGGCCGAGGACGGAGTCGGAGTCCAAGCCTAGGCCCTGGCCGGAGTGACTAGGGTTCTGCTCTGCCCACGGCCAGCTGGGCATGGCGGGGACGCAGGAGGCTGGGTCCTCATCTCCGGCACCAGGCGGGCTGGGCCACTGTGTCCTGAGCTTGCGCCCAGCTGTCCACAGCATCTCTCAAACCTGCCCGTGTTGCTTACCTGCAGGGCACCCCCCATGCTGCCGCCATGACCTGCACGTGGGCACCAAGACCGAGCATCCCGGAGAGGCCCGTGGAGCCCCAGGGAGAGCCTAAAGGTGGAAGCAGAGGGAGGCTTGGAGGCCACAGCCACCCCCAGCTCTGAGCGGCCTTGAGGCACCAGCCTCTGGGCTCTCCTTCCCGGAAAGTCAGCCTGGCGGCACCACGGGTGGCCCCAGGGTTCAGACGCCCAGGTCGGCCCAAGATGCGCGGAGAATGGCCGGGACAGCCAGCTCACGCATCTCAACCGGCAGCGGCGGCCTTCCCACTGGGGTTGAGCCAACGGGTGCTGGGACCAGGGAACTGTGACGCTCCACCTGTACCTCCTGGCAGGACCCCGCCCAGCCGCAGACCGGGGAAGTTCCCTCTGGTGTGTGCTCACACTATCAAAATAAAACACGTACACTTTAAAAAGTAAGGTAGAGCCAGCAGGTGGTGTGGTGGTCAAGGCACCGGATCCCACATTGCTGTGTGCATGGTTCGAGTCCTGGACCTGGTGGCTTGAAAACCATGGCAGTCATGTACGCGTGAATGCCCCAGATCTCAAGAGAATGGAGAGGGGATTGTGGCGTGGCCATCCCCCCGGGGGGTGCTTTCTCACTCTTCCGCCCCATCCTGTGCATCCATGCACCCTACAGCAAAAGCCTCGAAGAAAAATCAGTAAAGGCGGTAAAAAGTGGGCAAAGCTGAGAGCATCAGGTCAAGATCTACCCTTCAGGGAAGGGTGAGGGGGATGACATGGAGTGTCGTTGCTCTGGGGGGTCCAGGCGGCGGCCTCACAGAGGGGCGTGCAAGCTGGGGGGAGATTTCAGGTCTCCGACCTAAGGGGCTCAGGTGCCAACCAGGATGGCGTCCCATGTGCCCTGTGGCTTGTTCCTCTGAGACGTTCATTCCTGCCGAGGGGAGGAAGTGCGAAATTCTTCCAGAGACATTTCCAGGGGAAAGCCCGCAGTCTGGCTGAGAAGCACCAGGCTGCCAGGAGGAGGAGGCGGACAGACTCCGAAGTGCTGAGGGCAAGTGCTCCCACGCCACGGCCTGCGGAGCCCGGAGGCCTGCCGCGCGCACCCTCCTCGGGATTTGCTGGAAGGGCTGGCGGGGCAGCGGGGGAGGGGGATCTGGCCCAGCCCCGGTCTGCCACCTACCCAGCAGAGGCAGGTCCACCAGGAATCAGCCAGCCCAGGAGGGCAGCCTCAGGCCTAAAAGGCCCCCAGGTGTACAGACACCAAGCCAGAGAGATGAGACCCGTGCCTGCCAGGGAGGAGCACGAGCCCTCCACACGGCCCCCACGCTGAAGCAGAGCCTGTGCGGGCGACGGCTGAACAAACCACAGCCCGCTTTACTCAGACGCAGCGGTGTGGACGCATCGGGATGTGGCAGGGCAGGAAGGGAGCCCTGAGAGCGGGGTCCTGCCACTCGCGCATGGGGGCTGCGAAGCCCCTCTCTGGCTGCTGCCCGGAAGGAGGTGCAGGATGGGCTGGGGGCTTCCCACTTCCAGAAACACTGACCTGGAGCGCTGATTTCTACCTCGAGGCAGGACCACTAGCAGGTAGCAGATCTGACACAGAGCTGTCCCGTTGGGCTGGTGAGGTGGGAGAGTGCACTTTGTTTTTTTGGAGGGGATCTCTATTATTATTATTATTATTATTATTATTATTATTATTATTATTTTGGAGAGTTTTTTTGCCATAGGACGCATGCACTCGCCAGACAGAGAGACAGAAAGCGAGAAATCACCCCCCAGGGAGGATGGACACGCCGCAATCCCTTCTCCTCCATTCTCCTCTCGGGATCTTGGGCACACATGCACACATGCCTGGTGTGAGTTTAAGCCACCGGGTCCGGGACTCGAACCATGGCCGACTATGTGGGACTCCAGCGACATAGCCATTACACTAACTGCTGGTCCCGGGATCACTACTTTTTTGTTTGCTTTTTGAGCCTAAAAACTAAAACCACGGATGGGGAAGGAGTCTTTATCCCAGTCAAGCGTGAGAGCCAGAAGGGGCAGCCACCCTCCAACCTGAGCCGTGGCGGGACACCTCCATCTCAACCTCCCAGCTGCCCCGAGGCTGGCTGTCTCTGCCCAGGCTCACAGCCCGGGCTGCGCTCCTGGGCGTGGGCTCCCCCAGCACCCTGCGAGCTCTGGCAGGGAGCTCATGCCAGGCAGCCCCGGGAACCGGTACAGGTCAGACCTCAGCAAAAGGGGTTCCAAACACCCTGGGGGTACCAGGAACACGGGGACACTTGAGTCTCTGTGTCCCACTTTTTTTTTTCTTGAGAGGTTTTTACTATAGGATGTGTGCGCTCACCAGAAAGACAGAGAGAGAGACAGAAAGCGAGAAGTCACCCCCTGGGGGGATGGCCATGCTGCAATCCCTTCTCCTCCATTCTCTCGGGATCTTGGGCACGCACCCACATGCACCCGGGACTTGAACCATGGTCAGCTACATGGGAGTTCAGCAACATAGCCATTAGGCTAACTGCTGGTCCCATCTGTGTTCCACTTTTTTTTTTTTTTTGAGAGAGAGAGATTTTCGCTATAGGGTGTGTGCGCTCACCAGACGGAGAGAGACATTAGAGACAGAAAGCGAGAAATCACCCCCCGGGGGGATGGTCACGCCGCAATCCCTTCTCCTCCATTCTCCTCTCGGGATCTTGGGCACGTACTCACATGCGCCCAGCGTGAGTTTTAAGCCACTGGGTCTGGGACGCGAACCATGGTCGACTATGTGGGAGTCCAGCGACATAGCCATTACGTTAACTGCTGGTTCCCTCTGTGTCCCACTTCTGAGCTCTGCACTCAGGACCCCCTTTCGCAGGTGCCCCTAGGAGGGGTGAGGGTGCATAGGCCCCGTGATGCCCCCACTGTAGGTGCGTCTCCACTCAGTTCTCTCAGGCCACCTCGTCCTGCCCCTAGGAGACACTGGGTCTATCTCTGAGCGGTTTGACGCTGAGCCCCAGGGCCGGGTCTCCACCTCTGGGCAGGGAGGCAGAGTTCAAGGGCCCTCGGCCAGCCCGGAAGCCCAGAGGTACCCACCTGCTGGGGCCCTGGGGTCCCCTCCCCTGCAGGACCTGCAATCAAGCCCCAGCGGGCAGTCGTGTCTACAAGCCCTGAGCCTCACAGCCTTCAGTCTAAAATGCCGGGCTATGGAAAACCATGACGCATTTCTGCATAGGAAAATACGGGAAACGACGCCATGGCTTCTCCAACCACCTAATAGGTTCCTCTTTCCCCTTGCGGTCTGCTATAGGGCACATGTGTTCCCCAGAGAGAGAGAGAGCACCTCCTGGGGGACGGCCATGCCAGTCCCCGCCCCTCCTGGGAATTTCGGACATGCAAGCATGCACCCGGTCCCAGCATGTTTTTCAAGCTCTGGGTCCAGGACTCAAACTGCGCAGCTGGCCATATGGGGTCCAGCACTGTAACCCCCATGTTACCAGCCGGCCCACAGAACAGGTTTCCACCACCTCAGGCACCAGTTGGACCCAGGTCCTGTGAGGCCCACTCAAATGCTCTGGCACGGGTTATGGGGTCAGATGGCGGAGCAGAGGTAGCCAGGCCCAGGTGTTTGGGCATGCTGGGTCCCACAGGGATGAGGGGCACTTGGGGCTGAAAGTGGCCAAAGCCTCAGGGCTCCCCTGGGGACAGCTGCTAGGACGTCTGTGACGCGGCGGGCGGTGTCTGCAGGTCAAGAGGAGACACGCACCGTGCTCCGAGAAACTTTAATAGGGCTTGGCCCGAGATGGCCCTACAGAGGAGCGGGCATTCGCGGGCCCCTCCCGCAAGCCTCCGCCTCTGGGGCCTCAGCCTGCCGGGGGCGGCACGCCGACTGGCGGCTCCCCGGGGGCTGCGTATCCTTCCCACGTCGTCTTAGGGCAGGTACGAAGGCGGGGCGACTTGGCAGATGCTTGGCCCCGCAGAGCCAGGCGGCCGGACGCAGCAGTCGCAGCTTCCCTAGATCATACCGGCCAGCCAGGGGGGCAGGAAGAGGCCCACGGTGCCCAGCAGGCAGACGAGGACGAACAGCCAGAGGAAGATGCGGTCGATAACCATGGCCACGTACTTCCAGTCCTCCTTCACCTGCAGACAGACACACGTCACTGCCCTTGGTCCTGCAGCCACACCCACGCTGACCGCGAGGTGCCCCAAAGCGGCTGCCCATGCCTGCACGGAGGGGACCCAGGCCTGGCAGTGAGAGGCGCCATGGGGGCGGGCCAGGACCCTCGAAGCCAAGCTCACCGCAGGGGCGTG